CTCTCGACCGGATGCTGACTAGCATATCTGGCTGCTGGTCTCCCCTTCGGTCCTCTCGACTGGATGCTGACTAGCATATCTGGGTGCTGGTCTCCCCTTCGGTCCTCTCGACCGGATGTTGGGGACTATTTCACCCCTACCACTACCACATAACACGTATCACATAATCTATTTAACATGGCTGGGCATGACTGCCCCTTCGGCCCTATCGACCGGTAACCTGGGGACTATCTCCCCTACTATCACTAGCACATAGCATCATATCATACAAACACATAAACATAACACAGGTAGTAGCAACCCTAGATGAATATCACAGAGACAATCATCTAATCATACAATTCCTACTAGTGGGTCGGCATTGCGGCCTTAGACCCACTCCTACTAGAAGGTAACTCACCTCACACTGCTGAAGTCCTGAAGACACAATCCCACACTTGCTGAAGTCCCGCAGACTCGACCCCAGCTGCTGGCTAACAGATTCCCGAACTGTCAACACCAAAATAACACCCAATTAATAATTGGGTCCCAATACATAACCATAAGTACATTCTTTGGGTAATTACTACATTACCCCTAGCTTGGCTTATTCAAGCCCAAGGCCCAATCCATAGGCCCAAAGTCGACTAGGAATCAAAGCCAAACACATGGCCTAAGTTTCCAAATTGGGCCTAGGCCTATACATGGTCTCATTTTAAGGCCCAACATCATATAATCATTAAGGCCCAACTATGGTCCATCTATGGCCCAATTTTCCCAATTGGGCCCAACCCCTTACATGGGACTTACCCTAGGCCCATTAAATTATTTTAGTCCATATAATTATTCTTGGATAGCCCATTAATAATCCAATCATCAAGGCCCAATAGAAAGGCCCAACAATAAACCCAAATGATTAGGGTTTCACATAAAATGCCGATTAGGGTTAAGTTTCCTACTTAACCCATTAAGGACTTAATCCATTAAGTCCATTATCGCTTAGATTAATCTTTGCCAAAGTTTATTATTTAATATCTCAAGTCATTAAATAATTCTTGTGTGTGACCCGATTAATTCTTAAAGTTAGGGTTTCATTGGCATTAGGTTTTTCCAATCCAAATATTAGCCCATTTATCAATTTGTTGGTCTTTTATGTCAATTAGGGCTTTATTGGGCCTATTAAGCACACTAAAATATTATTAAGCCTATTAGGGTTTTATTGGGTCCATTAGAGTCCATTAAGCTTTATTGGGCCTATTAGAGCTCATTTGAGCCCATTAGGGTTTTAGTCCTTTATCCAACATCGAAACCAAAACACAACATCAACGAGGCACACCGCCACCCGACACGGCGGCCGGTGGCGGCAGGAGGCGGCAGCCACCACCCTACGGTGGTGGTTTGGGTTCCATTTCACTATTCCATTTTTTTATTACATTTTACATGCTAAAACCCCAAAATAATCACACACACACACATACTAATACAACACATGCACACAACAACCTAATGGTGGTTGGCGGTGGCGAACGGCAGCAGCCACCATGGATGGTGGCCATGGTGGTTTCTTGACAACTCCGGCCAATAGAAAAAGGACCATACACCAGATCACACACTCATGGCGGCGACAACAGAAGACTTGCGATGGCACCCACCACCTCATGGTAGTGGTGGTGATTCCTTTGGTTCTCAGTCAATTAGCCACACATACCAACAGCCCCAACTCGGAAATTAACTCGATACCCACCTGTGGTGGGCAGCAACGGTGGCAGCAATGACTTGACGGCAGCAACAACCTAAACCCATCCCCGATCTTCGACGGTTCCCTTCATCGGCTGCCCACGACGCCACAGGCGGCGACTGTGGTGTTTGGGTGGCGAAGTAACAACATCAATGTAACAGTGGAACGACGACGCCGATCCTTGGTTGCCATAGGGCTCCAACAGCAACGACTAGGGTAGGAAACTCCCACCGGATGCGATGCAACGTCAATGAACAGGAAAGGGAGGAGAAAGAGTGAATACGACGAGGCAGAAGGCGGTGGTCTTGTCGTCATCGGCGAAGGGTGGTACGGCAGCAAGCATCCTCACCGGCATCAACGGCTTGCGGTGGATTCGGCGGTCGGAGAAACGAGAAAGAGTAGGGTGGTGGTCGGCTTGGAATGATAGTGGAGAAGGTGGCGGCTAGAGGATCCCGACGATGGCGACTGCGCTCTATCAGTTAGGGTTAGGGTGGACTGGGGGGTGACGAGTTATATACCCCGATCCCCCGTGAACATAATTTCCATAACACCAAAAGTGGTCCCTCCCTTCCCCATTCCTTTCAAAATAAACCCGATAATTACCATCTAGATCCTCAGCCTTAAAATCCTTACAAATTAGGTACAGAAGTTACAAAACAGCCCCCAAAATATTAATTATGACATATTCTGCCCTTGCATCTCATTTCCTTTTAAATTAGACCCAAATAGTTACCACTGAGCCCCTGACCTCTTAAATACTTACAATTTAAGTCCGGAACTCACACTTTTAACCCCTAACTTCCAGAACTGTGACAATTAGCTCTTCGAGACCATCCTTTGATATATAATTATTTATTTTTGGGCTACTATTCGTTCGTTAATTAATTTATTTATTAAATAAATAAATGGGGCTTTACAGGCAGAGTTGGTTCTGGGCGGCCCAAAGCGTTCTAAACGGTCTAAGCCGGTAAAAAAGTCAGACAGTCAAAGTATTTTTTAAGAAAATCTCCGATTAATCAAATTTATGATATTGAGTGATTAATTTATGATGATTGATGACTAAATCTATTAAAAATATCAGAAATTAATATAAAAATTATTATATAATATGATTTAAATATTTAGATGACTGAATATGTTAAAATTTATGGCTTTTTACTTATTTTGTTAGTATATAGGTAATATTTAATTTTTAAAAATTAAATGATATTATAATTAAGAGTTTCCGTTTAGATACTGATTAATTCCTGCCTACACCGATTAGTCCCTTAAACCTAGTCGACCGCCCGACCATCGCTTAACGACTTTTACAACATTGATAAAAACTATATGTTAAATACTATTCTTTTTGTAAAATAATAAAATTTGGAAAGTGCACATTAAATAAGTTACCACCCTTTGCAATTTGATTTGTTTAATCGCTTAGAATAAAGAAATTTAGCAAAAAAAAATAAATTAATTAAATAATGGTCAAGTATCAACACAATTTAGGAGTGGACGGACAAGAGGTTGCAAAAAATAATATACCTTGAAATCTTTTAACCAAGCGAGAAGAAAATTTGAGATGGTTATCTAGAAAGGGACAAAAAATGCAAGTAGTTGATTTAGAGGAAAAGAAACATATACATGTGGTATAAAAATATTGTCGATCTCATGTCTTGATGCATGCACCTATGTTTAAATAATTGTCAATATATTTCTCAATTGTTAAGTATTGTGTTGTCATATGTTTGGGCTTCCACATTCATAGTTAAAACTTCCCGAAAAAAGATTGGCATGAGTCATATGTTCATGTAATCACTTTATGTTGATGATGTTTAATTACTTTTGGTTTTAGTTTCCTAGCCTATGGATTAATTTTCAAATGATAAATCGTTTTTTATATTTATTGTTTTTCTTCTTCTCCCGAGGTGTAATTGGGCTATGCTGGATTCTTTTCTAAATGCATTATTTGCCCACTCCTCAAATATAACGCATATTTAGTTGTATACTTGTACAATAGGATTCAAAGCATTGTTTTTAAAAAAACTTGTATCCAATACAAATTATATAATATGATACATGAGGCATTGAGGCCTACTTCTTTAATACACTATAACTTTTGTTTTGTAATAAAAAAGATTATCTTAAGGAGTTATAATACAATATTTTATAGATAAATAACAACGTCATTTGTTATTTTTTTATATTATTTATAAATGATAGTGGGTCAATAGTCACGTTGGTATTTAACCAATTCATCTAAAATATTAAAACCCATAAAAAATTATCTACTATAGTTTGGTAAGCACGTTTAAGATCAGCAGATCATTATGTATTGGTAAATAATTTTTTATAGGAAGCACAAAACTCATTTATATTACACAAAATTACACAAATGGTTCTTGTGCAGGTAGACAAAAAATATACTATTGCAAGTTTTTTGAGAAAACTTTTAATATATTTGATATTTTTAGGTTTAAACTGTAGCTGGCAGAAAAGATCCACGATATAGGTTTTAAACCTCAAAATAACAAACCATATAAAAAATTTCTTAAAAAAAACTTCCAGTGGTACTTCCTACTAAAAACAACCATTTATGTAATTTATCTTTATATTATATTTATAAAGCATGATAGGAAAGGCAACTTATTACGCCACAAAAAGCATCTGATCTACTATAACTAGTATTCACCTGTTGGTAACTTTTGTACTTTGTAGGAAATACCAAAGAAATGACTTAAAATGCGACAAAATCAGAGAAACCATATCTTCATAGATATCCACATGACTGATTCATAATGCAGCCACTTGTCAACGTTTATCTGGTCAGGCTATTTGCCATTTATAATTCCGAAAAGGTAATAATTATTATTATTTAATGTGAAAAGCAAGAACAGCACAAAAGGTTAAATTTCAATTATGGCCAATTGGCCATTCAAAGATCAGGACAAGTGATACAGTCAGAGCCACATCCAGTTCCCTTCAACATATCTCATCCTATTTCATACAATAAACCCCCCTCAACTTTGAGCCAACTCCAATTCGACTACACATCTTTTGTAACACCTCAAGCACCATAACATAAGAGACTTTTAGAAACTTATATCCGGAGATAAATGGAAATCAAAGGCTTTAGATGGACTTACAATTACAATAAACATTAGGGGGTACCATGAAATCACACAAACTCGAAGCTCCCTATAAATTTCAAAGACATTAGTCTACTTTTGTCATACTTTTATCCACCATTCCACCCTTTAATACAACACAATACTTAAATCGTCTCTTCGGACTCCATTAGATGGCAAGCTCAAGGATGGCACGGTTTGTCAGTGAGGTCGCACCACCACAATTTGTGAGTTTAATGAGGCGGAGGACAACGAAAATGTTGGACACAATCAGTGAAGACGAGAGGGAAGTTTGTATGCATGAAAGAGAAGCGAAAATAGCTGCTGCTGTTCAGTACTCATCGTTTTCGTTTGGTTCATCTCAACAACCACAAGCAGCTAGTGGTAACTCCATGCACTTCTTTAAACAAACCCAAATGAAATTTCGGGTGCTAGGAAATTGATGTATTTGTGATTTTGTGTAATTAATGTATGGAGTTATGTTTTGTTGGATTTTGTGTACATTAGTTTTGTTTCAAGACCCTTTGCACTCTCTTTTGATCTCATTTTGTCTTTTGAGGAGTGGGGTTGATTTTAAAATCTGTGAAGCGGATGTACTTTTATCAGTTTATGTAAGCAATAAATTATGCCTATCATGGTACTACAATTTATACTACTTGTTCTTCTGTTTTGAGTTATGCTTCTTGTATCATCACATTCTTTTCTACAGGAACTTGATGCATTCTTGTTTAACAAAAATAATATGTTTTAAAGTTTCATCAGAGTCAACCAAAAACTTCTAAGAGATTAAAATTTTAATCAAACTAAGAGATTAGTGATAGCTTACAACAAAGGATAGTTATACAGGATCAGGTTCGAGTTGGTTAACAATTTTACAAAACATTCCAAAGTTTTGTTATCAAAAGAAGCACACAATGACTATTCCATTATGCTCTTTGTCTTATCCATGATGCTTGTACCTGTATACATTAAGAAATTTGCAAAAGCAAGTTTATGGCTTAGTGAGTAGCTTTTTCCTATATCATTAAAATATTATAATCACAATATCATCTTTTGTATCACAAATATACCCGTGGCGGGTATGATACATTTTTCTCATGTATTCTTAATCAACTCCATTCACCAATACTATCTAATATCACAATTTAATTAGCTTATTCAATATCATCTTGTATATCATCAAAATTTCATCAAATCATCTCAATAAAATTCTGATATATGATACCACCCAATCACCTCTCATGGGTTTTCTAGTATCAACTTTCAACCTCCATCGGTCATTCTCTCTCAAATCACAGATATTCTTAACATGACAATGTAAGTATAAATTCTTGGAATTTAGCTAAGCATACTAATAATCACTAAATCAATATATGAGGAAATCAAAGTTGACTCACCTTGTCCTTTATGGTTTGTTTGGATGATATCCCAACCTTGGAACTTCCTTTCTCGATCCTTCTTCTCGATTTCCTAATCACAATTATTTCATAAATAACATTAACATGATCAATTACACATTTCAACCCATAAACATAAATTCTCATTTGTGAAGCCATATTATTTATTCACCAAGAATAAAATCTATAAGTATATCAATCCACAAATACTCATATCAAGTTTAACTTACATGTTATATAATTACGTACATCAAAATTCATCATTCAAATACTTAAATTTATTAAGTCATATTTCTTTACTCATGAACCCTAGTCCTCATGAATCAAATTAACATACACGGTTCAATAACATGGTATTAAAGTGAAATTAAGCCACAATATATCATATGATATCAAAAAATTTCAATTAAACTCAAACCCTTTGTCTAGCGTTTCAACCAAAACCTTCTAACTTTGCTCTAATTCCACAACAATGATGTTATATATGATTATCTTTACCTTGATTCAACAAATTGAGTTCTATGTCTTTAATCTCTTCAAAATCAACTCAAGAGGGTTTAGTATGTGTAAATCGCACCTTAGTATATGTTTCTAAAGAGTTGGAATCAAATTTCTTTGTTCAAGGACGAAACTCATTTTTATCATCTGTTGTGCCGTCATGTCGTGACACTTATCTACATGTCGTGGGCATCTTTTGTGACATTTTCTTCATACGACAAAGCATAATCCATCGTGAATTATATTGGGAAACATACTTTTCCACGTTGTGGCTTTTCTCCACCATGTTGTTTTATCTTCAAGGTAGGATGCCATCACTATTCATTTGCATAACTTGATTTCTCGTTCTGGGCCACATCGTGGGCACCTTATTTCTCAATTTTCCCTTTCACTTAATGTATTACATAGTTTTTATCAACTTTAACCATTTAAATCTTCAGACTATAAGACCTATTTTATCACATAAACAATAATTCTCAATTAGATGCATTACTATAATGTCTAAACTTTCATACATTAATCCTCAATTTTAAGTTATTAAACATAGATTTAGTTAAAATGCCAAAAATAGGTGTTACATTGAACTTGCTATCTCTATATCTTGAACTTGTACTAACATCCCGGGTAAGCCCAAGATCTTGGATTTAATCAATATCTTGGACCACCATAGTGTTTTTTGTGAAATCTTATGTAGAAACTTAAAGCTTGACATATAAGGAATAGACCAAGTCAAACTAGACATGGTTAATGCCCCATGAAAATTGAAGACCCTTGTAAATGGCTGGTCAAGCAAAGATCAAGGAGAATCCCAAGAATGTCAGAATTATAGTTATTATTGTTATGTATATAAAGATTAGTTGATTGACATTCACACAACAGACTTCCACTACTACTTCTTCTTAGATTCTCTCGACACTTGAAGCACATTCATTTCATTTCAAAGATCAGCTAACACTTATAACTTTATTTCAATTTAATATAAAATTCTAAGGCAAGTGATTACATCATTTCCTTATGTTTTATGTTAGAGATAAAAAAAGGATTAAGGATTTTCCTCATAACTCACCATGTTCTTAAATTTACTTTATTTACTTGTTGTTCAATCGAAAATGATCTATTCCTTTATTTATTCGTTTATTCATATGTTTACATTGCTAAAAATGTTAAGGTATTTTTTGGTATATTAGTACATTTTTTAGTAACTTAAACTTTATTATATGAATTTATTTATTAATTCTCTTTAACAATATTTATCCCAAAAATACACTTATTTGTATCATGAGATATTACATTTTAATCAAACTCTTTTATGAGCATTATAATTTTCTACCCAAGATCTTGGGCATGACCAAGATTTTCGGCATATCTCAAGATCTTAAGCAATTTTCTTTTATTACCTTAATTCAAACATGTCACATCCTGGCTGACGGCGGAAACATCGGGCCGTGCGACGTAATGACATTAGATCACGGTGGCAGGTATATTGAACAATACACAAAAGTATAACACAAACATTACTTTTATTTGTTATAAATTATTTCAAGGTTACTTTGTGTGGAGTTCAATCACACATCCTATTCATCACTAAACATAAGAAAGACAGAAACGACTACCAACAACTTCCTTGATGACTTCCTTCCTTCCACAACTACTCTCCACACTAGGAGTATGTTGGGCATCATGGTTGTATGAGACACATTTTTAGGGTGTTATGTTAGGTGTAACTTAAGGTACGCTAAATGTACCATCGCAGTGTCAAAACCCTTTTTACGTGGTTTTGGTCTCTATTTAAGGACTCTAACCCCTTGGGTTCCTTCCTAACATAATCCTCCACCCTCTTGAACCTCCAACTCAAAACCCTATCCCCTTAGATAAAATCTTAAGCCTTTTTTTGTGTTTTGGGTGCATCTTGGATGAAAGAGAATTCCAAGCTTGTTGATTGTTGAAGCTTAAGCTTGTGGATTGCCACACCCTCAATTGAGGCAGCAGACACATGACAGGCTATGTGACTAAGTTCACAGATCACAGGTAAATTGAATATATAACACAAGTATAACAATAAACAAAATAACATTTATATTTCATCTTTAAGTTTGAATACAGGGTTCTTACAAATAATAATAATACATGAATTACCTTAAAAGGTAGGCAGACATAACAAAAACTAGTAAACTAGATTGCCTGAAATCCATGATTATTCGTCGTCTGAAATGCTTGAATTAATGATACCTTGAGAATACATGTAATTTTGAGGGTCAACACAAGGTTGGTTAGAAGTTACATATTTTATGCTATCAGCATTAATACTTTTAAAAAGGTTTTAAAAGTGTTTTCTTTGTAAGTATACCCATACTTAAAACAATGTTTGTAAATAAGCTTTGAAAACCAAAATGTATCTTTTTATAAGTAAATTCATACTTAAAATATTTTGGAAAACAACCAAGCCCATTATTTGTAGTAAGAGAGAGATTCTAGTTAATGTTTATAGTGAGTCCTAGAGCTAGGTGACTGAAGGTACCCCTATAATGTTTCATAATACGTCTTAGTAACGATAGTAGATACTTATCAACCAATTCGATTGATCAGTTGAGATTGTAGCTAGCAACTACAGGTGGGAATGTCAACCCCGTCTATATTTATACATACGTATTTCGCTCCAAGGATTAACGGTTATAATAGTGTGTGTATGCTATGTGTTTAGACTTAGCTAATCAAATATAGTCTCGCTAAAAAGCCCTTAAATAAGGTATGTGAATAGCTCGTAGGCCTAACTTATAAGTGGTATAAATTTTGTATGTATACATGTATAGCTTGAATCTTTAGAAATACTACAAAGTTTTATAACATGCTGTTTATGAAATACAATGTCACATAAAATCGTATAGTTTTGTTGTAAAAAGGCATATGTTATTTTTATTAGTTGTATCATTTTAACAACATAACATATGAAAATATTGAGGTTTAAAACTAGATTATGTGTTTATAACATATAAAAGTCAAACCAATATTTTATAAACTAGTTATAGTTTTTGCATAAAATAATAATATTTTATATGTATTTTTTCATAAACTAGCACAAGTAAGCACAAGTATTCTCCCCCGAAGCTTATAAAAATATAAAAAAGGGGATGTAACACTCACCTTAATGTGTGGTTTGTTGGTAAATTTCAAGAACCTTGACGTGAGAACTGCAAACTTGATGCTTTCAAATCGAACCGTCGGGATTAATTTAGTTACCTATTAACCAAAAATAAGTTGTTGCATAAATTAATAAGTGTGGGGTTGTTTTGTGACTTAAATAAACTATAGGGTTGATTTACTAAATTAAATAAATGGAATAGGACTAAATTTGTTAACCATTTCTAAATGAGGGACTAAAATGGTATATTTAAATCAAAGTTTGGGGGTTTGGACTTATTTCCATGGGAAGGGGTTAGGAATTACTTTGAAATGAGAGTTTGGGACCTTAGGACCCATTTTGTAAGAATTTTTCAGGTAGGATGGGTTTTGAACAATTTAAAATGAAGTTTGAGGATTTATTGGGTGATATGTGAATATTTAGTGTATTTTAAGTGTAGTTTATTATTCATATATTAGCTAAATTGTTGCATATTATGGACAAAAGGTACTTAAAAGTGTTAAATTATGTTTTTCAGTCCAAAGATGAAGCTCGGAGGCGAAAGGGAGCAAGAGAAGCGGTTAAGAGCTCAAGAGTGGAACGAAGAAAGAAAACAACCAAAAAAAGGCTTATACTCGTCGAGTTGTCTCTTGACTCGACGACTCTGGTCGCGGATTCAGAAAGATAAGCATTCGGAAGTCAAGCAGTTATCAGGTTACGACTAATGTGAGAGGGACT